CACCCCTTCCACCCCCGTATGCCCACTCACCCATATGTAATGTTTAATATGGTCTTCTAATGATTGCAGGTACACCAATTGTGATCCATTACCATGAATGTGGTGTGTCCATGCAGTGGAGAGTACGTAATTGTCGTGGTTAGACATGGAAAGTTTGAGAACGTTGGCGGGTGCCACTACTATTTAGGTTATTAGTTAGGTAATTTTTTAATTTTTTTTATATACATGTTCATTGTTAAATAACAACATGTATTTGTTGTAGTTTGCCCTCGATAAACGATGAAATTTTTTATTATGAAAAGATGAAGCAATGATGTGTCTCTATGGCACTGGGCTATGCAGATTGTTTACATCGAAAAAACCTAGCAGTCAAGGGATATGGTTCTAGGTGTGCGCAAAGCCTCATGTAATAAAAAAAAATTGTTAATCCATAATTGCTTTGTTCAATGACTTATGAAAATTCAATTAGTTTTGTAGGATGCAGGTGGTGTAAATTCTTTTTATGGGTAATACCGGTGGATAGTGTAACCATGAAAGCAAATGATGGTTTAGGACCTTCCGGAATAAATGAAAGGTCATCTAGGGACACATTGGACGAAATTGTAGTAGTTGTACAATTTGAGAATGATAGTTTGGATAGGATGTCTGAATTTTGTGATAAATTATTGAAGCGTATCAAGGATTTACGCATAAAAGATGCATGATGTAGCTTTCTAATTTTGCATTAGTGTTTGAAGGTGTCTGTTTAATATGTATGGATGACTTTCATACCCCTTTCTCTCTCTCTCTCTCCTATGTTTTATTGAACAATTGTGGACCTTTTTCCATATTGTTAAGTCTAATACTACAACATGTTTATTGTCCAATTATCATTCTGAAACAAATATCACTGCTATCTTGGCCATTAAATAAGTTAAGCCATCATGCTTTTATGGCATGAATCTTCAAGAAATTGACACGCTCAGATCAGAAAACATTTTATTTGAGTCACACCCATAACCTATAATATATTCTTAATGTGGTTTATCTAAAAACCTGTAATATATTTGACTCACACCCATAACAAGAAGAAAAATGTGGTTGAACCTAATAATCCTTTTCTATACAGTAAGTAGCATGGTGTAGACCTGTAAGAAAACAAGTTGTTTCTTGAATCCATATTCATGGAATGGAATGGAACTAATTTAGAATGCCCCTTCATCTAACCAAATTGTCTCTTGAACACTGTTTAACTTTTGATCTATTAGGAGGCCTTATGGAGACATAATGGATAAAAAGTTTGTCTCTTGAATAGTGATATAAACTGTTTTTATGTCTACAATGTACCTATAAATTCTGAGATATTTGATGCCTTGTGGAGACATAATGGACCAAAGACAAACCTTTCCTTCTTTGCTTTTAAGGATTAATACTAGAAGGAAGACGATTAAAATTGAATAAAATAATAACACAACCATCACAAATAAGTATAAGTTTAAATATACATCATCATAAATAACACAACCATAACTCAATGTATCTTCCACTTCCATTAGGTATGTCAAAATATATCAAAGTTCAAGATATAACATGGGTGTGTCAAAATATATTAAAGTTCAAAATACATCAAAGTTCAAAAAATAGCATGGGTGTGCCAAAATATATTCACAGAATAACACAATTGAAAGTTAGATATCTGAAATAACCCATGTCATCATATGGGCCCTCTCACGGCTGGGAGTATCTCAAATCCTGGCTACTTTATTCCTCTGCCTATAGCTGTGAGTATTATACCCCTTATTGCACTAGTCTTGCATGGTGTGGCAACCATCCAACCCAATATTTTTTTTGTAGTCATCAAAGAACCCATTCCTTGGACCTGCAAGGCATATGAAGACTCTCTTGAAACCTCAAATGTGTCTTTTTCTAAGGCAAGTGGGGCATGTAACTTCACAACAGACCCAGGGTTGTTTGCAAATAAGGTTGTATAATACTAAGGGAGTATTGCATATGATTCTGCCATTAATCCCCTGATGCTATCAACAGCCTTAAGCTTAGCCCTATGTACTTTCCTCCAAGTGACATATATCCCATACATTTCTTGATTTTAGACCTAAGCACATGGCTTAACATGTTAGGATCAACTCTTAATAGTCATGTATATGTTGACCTTCAATCTTTGTTGATAACCATGTATTTGTTGCCTCCCAATTTGTAGTCACCCTGATACAACTATGTGTATCATTGAGGATCTTCACTATGAACTTGCCTCCATCATGGCTAAGGGATGCATAAATCCTCTAGCCACAGTTAATTGCAAAGCAAGCCCTAGTAAACCTACTCTTCAAATTTTTCTTTCTTTTGATCTCTATACCCTCCACCACACAATACTACCTCAATGCTTACCTAAACTCTTTCATAGTAGCAAACTCCATACCAACCCGAAATCTTGGTTTGGAAAAGTCAAAATCCCTTGTATTGCCCCTTTCCCTTGGATTGTCATACTCACTTATAGGATCATATTCAGACAAATCAGCACCACCACCATCATGTATACCCTCATTACCACCATCCCCACCATCATCATCTGAACCCTCATGATCCCCAACATCATCATCCAAACCCTCATGATCCTCACCATCATCATCTTCATAATCCTTACCATTACCATCTTCATAATTCTCACCATCATCATACAAAGCCTCAAATTCTCCATCATCAACATCATGATGACTATCTAGCCCCTAATCATTGCCATGGATATCATCAACTACACCTCCTTCATCATCAACTACATAACAATCAATATCATCATCATCTTGCAATTGTTCATTTTCCTTTCCACTGCACCTATCATCATACAAACCCTTAAATTCCCCATCATCAACATCATGATGGCCATCCAACCCCCCATCATGGCCATGGATATCATCAACTACATAATAGTTAATATCATTATCATCTTGTAATTGTTCCTTTCCCTTGCCACTGCACCCATCATCATACAAGCCCTCAAATTCCTCATCATCAACATCATGATGACCATCCAACCCCTCATCATTTCCATGGATATCATCAACTACACCTCCTTCATCATCAACTACATAACAGTCAATATCATCACCATCTTGCAATTGTTCCTTTCCCTTGCCACTGCACCCATCATCTATACAAACACACTTAGCTTCTGTATAAGTAACATAGAACATTACCATCACGACATTTTCACAACCAAGAACACCTAAATGCTCATCTAACTCTCATCCTAGTATCTTGTAGTTAATAGTCACCATGCTTCTAGGAGGTATAGCAGCTAATGAACAAAAGCTATTCAAGATGTCTGGATAGCATATTCTGTCACTACTCACATTACCCACTAATGAATGGTGATTTGGCACGACCTAACAGGAAGGGTACACGTAGGCGCGATCTGATCGAAGGATGACAACTCAACCAAGCAAGCCCAATTCGCAACATTCGCAGTTCGGGTATTCAGCCACCTCGGCACCCAATCCAGTTTAGGACTGAAGAATCGAAGTTCCAACTCGGAGCTAATAAGCCAAAGCGCCGCATAACCGACTCCAAAGGCCACCCCTACAGATCCCAAATCTCTTGAGGTCACGATGAGCCAACAGATCCCGAATTTCCCGATATCATGATAAAAACTTATCCCGGTTCTGCCCGAATCAGAGGTAGACGATAAACCTTATCAACGTACTGCTGTCATTCAAAAATGGAACCAACCTTATCTCCACAGCCCGCATATCCCGGAGCCATTCTGTAAGGCCCACGACTACTCTAGTATATAAAGACTCGAAATCTCAAGGCAAAGGTACGCGTGATTACTCTACTCACTAGCACTCAAGCTTTCAAACATTTAGCTTGAATTCATAGCATAATTACTGATTTAAGCATCGGAGCGACCTCGTCGGATTAGCTACCCCGGGTTCTCTGATACACTATTTTGTAGATCAATCCAGTTCGTCGTCCATCTAGAGTTCGAATTGCCCTCCAGCTAGGAGTAGTCAGATCACGCTCCATCACCCATATGTCCAACCTGACCATTTTTGTATGATAACTTCCCATTAGTGGTCTTCCAATGACCACCATAATTGATGATGAACATGTATCTACTCCCATCCATCACCTACATCATAGATAGGAACAAATATAATTACAACATGTTGATTATAAGATACAATATGCTGATTATAGGATGCTGATTCCACATGATTACATACATTCTTGGTTTGCATACAACATAAACTACACCATAAGCTACACAATAAGCTACAATAAAACCTACACCATAATTTACAAAATAAGCTACACTATAACCTACACCATAAGTTACATTATGAGCTAAAACATATAAACATACACAAGCTAAAACATAAGCTAAATTCCCCATCTATAACATTCCAATCATGGGCCCTACATTTATTTACTGGTATTGGCAGTTTCATGTCAAAATAGTGTTTCAGACATTTTGTCGAGCACCTGGACCTACGTGTGGATCCCATGTGTATGAATTAAAGCAGACACATGGGTCCCAACACACCATATATACCCATATTTGTGAGTGGTCCCCCAAAACCTAGCTATCTACCTTAATTCCAAGTGTCATTTTACCTGAACTGAATGGGGGGGGGG